TTTTAAGACAGAGTTTCGCTCTTGTTACCCAGGCTGGAGTGCAATGGCACGATCTCGGCTCACCGCAACCTCCGCCTCCCGGGTTCAGGCAATTCTTCCTGCCTCAGCCTCCTGAGTAGCTGGGATTACAGGCACGTGCCACCATGCCCAGCTAATTTTTTGTATTTTTAGTAGAGATGGGGTTTCACCATGCTGACCAGGATGGTCTCGATCTCTTGACCTCGTGATCCACCCGCCTCGGCCTCCCAAAGTGCTGGGATTACAGGCTTGAGCCACCGCGCCCGGCCTCCAGCGAATTTTTTTGTATTTTTAGTAGAGATGGGGTTTCTCTATGTTGGCCAGGCTGGTCTCAAACTCCCGACCTCAGGTGATCTGCCCACCTTGGCCTCCCAGAGTGCTGAGATTACAGGTGTGAGCCTAAAATTTTTAAATGATAAAAATTATATTTATCTATAGGTCAAGATTGATGGGAACATTTTTTAAGTTATATTTTAAAATAAACATTTAAAATAAGAATGCCATTTACAAATTACTCTATAATACATAATAAAATTATTGTTGTTCATAATTATGTTGCCTGTTATTGGTATATATATCCTACAATTAGATAATTAACATTTACATTATATTAAAATAATTTGTTCAAGACCAGCCTGACCAACATGGTGAAACGCCGTCTCTACTAAAACATACAAAAATTAGTCGGGTGTGGTGGCAGGCGCCTGTAATCCCAGCTACTTGGGAGGCTGAGGCAAAACTACGTCTCAGAATAAAATAACATAAAATAAATTTATACATATACATTTTTTTTGAGATGGAGTCTGGCTCTGTCACCCAGGCTGCAGTGCAGTGGTGTGATCTCAGCTCACTACAACCCCTGCCTCCCAAGTTCAGGTTCAAGTAATCCTCCCACCCGAGTCTCCTGAGTAGCTGGGATTACAGGTGCCCACCACCACGCCCAGCTAATTTTTTGCATTTTTTTTTTTTTTTTTTTTTAGACGGAGTTTCGCTCTTGTTACCCAGGCTGGAGCGCAATGGCG